GGCAACATCCCTTGGTGGTGGCATTTGCTTGACGGTTTCTATATTAATGGGATCCGGACGTTGGCCATGTTTGTCAATGATGAACCCGAGAAACTTGACACTTTCCATCAGGAAATTGCATTTTTCCGCTCGTAACCGGAAGCCAGCTTCTGGACGAGTGAGCACTTTCTCTAACGTGGCAAGCAATGCTTGTAGGTCAGACCCCATAATCAATGCGTCATCCAGATATACTGCGACCCCAGGGATATCGTTCAGCAGCGTATCCATGATTTGTTGAAAAATGGCGGGAGCAGTTTTGACTCCGAATGGCAACCGATTGTACTGGAAAATATCCAGATGCGTATTGACCGTCAATAGAGTTCTGCGGTTCTCGGCTACTGGAATTTGTAAGTAAGCATCAGCTAGATCGAGTCTCGCAAACCATTTTCCACCGTTAAGCTTGGTGAACAAATCTTCAGGTATAGGCAAAGGGTACTGGTGGTTCTCCAACATGGAATTTAAGCCGGTTGAAAAGTCAGCACAAATACGTACCTTGCCGTTTCCTTTCTTTATCACAACGATGGATGCTGCCCATTCTGAGTAATGTACGCGCTCGGTTATGCCTTCCGACTGCAACCGATTTAACTCAGACTCCACTATTGGTTGTGTTGCGTACGGCACTGGACGTTTTGGTCTAAAGACTGGTCTCGCGTCTGGTTTGAGATTCAGCTCAGCTCTTTCTATCCGGCAGCATCCAAGACCGGGTTGGAACAGACTTCCGTGGCGTCGCTTCAGTTCTGCAATTTGACTGTAAAGGTCGAGGTTCATATTCTGCGTCTCTGCGGGTTTCTCGACTTGTAGTTTCTTGCATATACTGTTAACTGACTGGTCAAGTAATTTCAATTCCTCCATCCATTCGAGACCCAGCAAATTCAATCCTGGTTGATCTGTCACAAAACAGGTTGTGCGAATGTGCTGATCACGGATACTGACCTGATAATGCAACTCTCCGAGAAGTTTCAAAATACCGCCGGATGCGTTTCGTGCTATGTGGTCTGTGTAGACAAGCGGTGGTCGTCCCATCATACACCATGTGTCTCGACAAATCAAAGTGATGTCTGACGCAGTATCCAGTTGCAGCTTAACTTCTTTATCATTGATCTTCCACATTGTAAACTTACTTCTGCTGACACCGTCAACCTTGAAAGTCGCCGTCACCGTTTTGGCCTCGTTGTGACATCGGAAGCGCACCGGGATTCGACGCCGTATTCCGCTCATTCTTAGTCGCTTCGTAAGACAACACGACTCTTTGTGTCCTGGCTTACCACAGCGATTGTAAATGTGATTTCGGAACGGGTAGTTTCGACCAAGGTGCCATTCCCTGCAAAACCAACAAGCAGAAGAGGGTTTAGAATGTGGTGAACTCACATGAACCGATTCTTTCTGAGGACTTCGTCTGACCCTGCAAATGATGTCCTGGCTAATCTGGATGGACGACTGTTGGATCATCGCAGCATCATACTTCAAGTTCATCGACCGTTGGCACTCGTTCGTCACTTCCTTCAGTTTGATCTCGGGATTTTGTTCAATTATGCTCGGTACTATTGTTCGGGCATCAGCATCTTTGGTTGCTTGAAGACCACACACATAAATAAGGCACTTGTACTGATCAGCTGTCATCTTGTGAAATAGCGACCGTCCACACTCACGAATTACGCGACTCAAGTAAGTGACACAGTCTTCATCGTCTCGCTTGGTTATTGTCAGGCACTTGTATCAGATATTGAATAATGGCGACTGCTCTCCAAATATCTGGGACAAAGTAGCAACCGCTTCATCGAATGTTAAATCAGTGCTCTTTTTCGACAATATGAAATTCGTGAACTTTTCATGCTCGGTTGCACCCAATTTCCGCAGTATGAGGCGAACTCTCTTGTCCTCTGAAGCATTGGCTAAATCAACGCGAAACAGCTCTTCGTACTTATGGAACCACGATTCAAAGATAATATCGACATCGGCATCGTAACGGAACTCACAAACTTGCTGGGTCAAGGTTTCTACTGAGTGGCAATGTTCACTTGTTCCTGTTACCGAGTCTGCTTGTAGTGACAAATTTTTGGTCAGCGTTTCGATCAACTTGGCCTGTGCTTTCTCAAACTGCGCCTGCTGTTGCTGCAACAGAGTCTGCAATTGTTCAAAACTGACTGACATTTTTGGGTTCCTCTGACTTGCCGAACAACCTCCTCGTGGTGCCAGCTGGGTGGTTCGGGATTTTCCCGTTCCAGCAAATGGTTCGGCGGCAGTGTTCCAGGACGTGGTGGGTTTTCGCCTGGCAAGCGTTCTCCCTATAAAAAAGCCACATATGTCCGTTTAACAACACTGTGACGTGGCGGATGTGACTCGCCACTAAATAAAGTCACTGCCCCTTGCTTCATTCTGGCGAAGCATTGTATTCCAGCAACCTTATGCTGTACTTCTGGGGAGCATTGGGCCCATGTTTGACAAAGGAACAAACAAAAGGCGTAAGAACTGAGCAATCAGTCACCGGCTCCCAATGGGCGCGATTCCCTGAATTCGGTCCGCTGCCTTGCGGGCAGGCTATTCAGCCAAAGGCTCGGGGTGGTGTCCCCTAAGTTAACACCCTACTTCGGCTTGGGCAACCGGGTAGTATCTCGCCCTCTGAGGAAACCATGGACATTGTTGTGTTGTGTTTTCTTTTACTGTTTCTGTACCTTCGTTTGAATCCCATGGTTTCTGATGGCATTATGTCTGTTAACAGACTTTTGCATATATATATATATATATATATATATATATATATATATATATATATATATATATATGTTCCTCTGACTCCTGTCGCCCATGTTGTGAAGCTGCCTTCGTACTGCTGCACCGATGCTATTCTGTGCCTGCAAGACTACGACCGCCTGATTGCTCAGTCACGCGCCCAACCAACCCATGGGATACAGAAGGCCAAGGCTCGGTAAACAGGGAGTTTATTCTACACGATAGGTCAGTTCTATTTATTGGTGAGCGAAACATACTAATTTTGGAAGCATTTGGCTCTCAGCCAATGTGAGTTAATTCCGTCCCACGGATTTTCCATATTTGGCAGATTCGTTCGCCTCCGTTGACTCGGGCTTGTATTTTCTGGCCAATCAGGTTGCACCCGATTCCCAAATTTGGCAAAACAGTCGAAGGTTGTTCCATGCTCGTGCTGGTGACCTTCGCATGCAGCAGACAGCTCACGTGGTCCGCGGTAAGCCTGTGCGCGACCTCGTTTCTGGACATTGGCTCCGCTTACCTCTCTATTAATTAGTGATCTTATAAATAGACTACCCGGTGAAAATGTTCAAATATTTAGTTATGGCTAATATCCGGCAGCAAATAGATTAAGCGATGTTTCAGTGAAAAGGCAACGATTGATTTAGAAACCCTGCCTCATTCCACTTAGCCTCTTTTCAACCACCACCTCGACGTTAATGCATAATATAAACAGGCATAACTGTGTCCTTTTGTTGTTGTTGTTGTTGTTGTTGTTGTTGTTGTTGTTGATTTCTTTATTTTCCTCAATAGTTACTACAAATAAAGCAGAAATCCAGTAATCTAGTGACGATGCCTGTTACACCCTTCATATTTTCGCCCACATACTTATCTGTTCTTCCTACCTGTAACCGTTTCACCTTTTTGTTGCTGTATTTTCATTTTAGCTGCGCTGCTAGGCGGCTGAGTTATCAGATGTCAACCTTTTTCACCGCAACTTCGGTGATTGCGGCTGATTACTCCACGGCGACACGAATGATTATCTCTGAAATGTTCTTCGCCCGTTTTGTTGATGTGTAAGCCCGTTTGCTGTTCACATCGGGTGTTAGCAATGATTAGATCACGTCTTATTATGTCCCATCAAGTGGGCGTTGAGTGTCGTTCCGCATTCATCGTTGCGACGATGATACATCTTACACCGACTCGTTTAAAAAAAACTTGTCAATTATCCACCACCTACGACTACCTTTGCAAGCCGCCACCGTTTGAGGTGGTATGTAAGGTGCTAAGGCGATTACTGATCATGCGATCGTCATGGGTTCGAATTCCCCAAGAATCAGTGGAAATGCCCTCTGACTCTCTGGTTGAGACTATTCTCCTGCTACCTTCTTAGAGTGAACAACCCGTGCGCATATTTGCCTAGTTTTCGCCTGTTTGAACTCCCTATGTTTAGATTTTTCTCAGAGATCCTGCACTTGCTTTCATGACGCTAGCCACATGTACGTCGCTCGAGCGCTATCGTGATTCTTAGATACTGTTGAACAGATTTGCCCACCCATGAGTAACGCGTGTCCGTCATTCACTTCCACATGACCTCTGATCCCTTCGTGTGGGCTAAGACATCTTCTGACTTTTTGCAGTCAACGGGCCCCCCACTCTACTTTTGTCGTCGCCTACTAAAACCGGGCTACAAGCCCACTTTGTATTCCACCACTGAAGTTGACCGCATAATACACCTAGTTGGAATGTCTCCGGAGCGCTTCTTCTCTTCAACTGTACCAACCATATTATGCTGTTCTTAACGCTGCTCCTGTTTTATCCCGAACAAAAAATCGACTTGATTATACGTTACTCCAACTATATTGCACGAGTTACGCCGATGTCATTTGGACGCAACATAACGCAGGCAAACTGCGTGCGTACGTGAGCTCACCGACACACTTAGTTCGCTCGGCAGTATAAGCTGCTGGTTAGTAGTGCAAGCCGCTACCGGTCATGGGTTCCGGTCTCTGAAGGAGACCGAAGAAATGCGCACTACTGACGGCCGTTTGATGCTTTTCCGGATTGGTAGTTGGCTTATCCTGCTCCTGCTCCAATTGCGATTAACCAAATAAATATCACCCAATCCCTCTACTCATGAGTATTTATTTATGTTCTGTTCTTTTCACTTACTTGCTTTTTTATCCGCATTATATCCGTTCTTCCGCTTTTAGCAATTGACTGTTCTTTCCCCTTGGCTCTCCATTTTTCTCCAGCTATCATATATGTGAGTACATTCATCGCCTTCGCAACGAAACGTTTGAGGCCTTCCGGGATCAGTTGACTGCGCTGCAGTACTCACTGCTCCCGTGTCCCAATTCTGTCACCGAAGCTACTTATACAGGTGGGCGCGCGGATTCAGAGTCCCATCCGGCGGGAGTTCGAATATTCTCATTTTTGGAAATTCTTTTCACCGCCGGAGAGCCGAAGGAGGACACTCTACACTCGTTGCATCTGACGCATGAAGATGTGTGCAATATAAAAACCCTGTGTTTGGAGAAAATTACGGTAATTGCCTGGGTTCTTTCAGCTCTGTTTTGTTTCAGAGCAATTTTTTCGCTTATTTGCAGATATACTTGCAGTCATAAACGAATAAATATTTTATCTCTCGACCGTGTGAGACATGGTTCAGCACAGATGTGGGTTGATCATGGTGCATAGATCTGTTGCGCGGCGGTAGCAGAAGTTTTGTCGCTGATCGAGCAAAAATATTTCCCGGTTTTGTGAGTGAGATCGGCCAACAGACGCAAATCGCTGTGTCCATATTTCGGGCAAAATGTTAATATTCGTCAAGCAATGCGTGTGGTTAGAGTGGCATGCCAAAGTGAAGAGAACATTTTATGATGAGCTACTGCATTACCAGTAGCAAGCATGAACAGAAAAATTTGTCAGGTTTTGATAGGGGTATATATATTTCTTCGACGTGAATGGGGAAGTGGTCTTAAGCGGTGTTTGTATCTGCATGTGGCACAGCGAAAGTCCAATGATGTGAGTGCCAAAGTGTTACAGAGTTGAGCACCAAGCGTCGAGCCTTTCAATGTGTCAGTGTTTGCATTGACCAACGATAAATCTAAGAGGCAAACATGATGAACTTGTTAAAGTGAAAGTTCAGATGGGTGGGATATCACCAATTCACTGATTTTTCATTCCTTGAGGATAGAATGATATTGTCGGTAACATCCGTTGATAGTGGAGACGCATCCTGATTCCTTATATACAAACCCACCTGGATCATCACCTGGTCTATTGCAGCTGCGTAGGCACTTAACGCTAAGCCACTTAGGATGGCTAAATGCAAGGTATTTGTGCTTGTGTACAATCTTGCCAACCCGAAAAAAAGAAACAATTCGCGTTCAGCGAACTGGAACTGAGAGGGCTGATAGTAGATATTACTCTGCGCAGATTCACCTAACTCTGGCGAACAGTGGTCGGATGCAGGTTTGTCACTGACGCATTCAGAGTCAAGAGTCTTGTTATACCTATTGAGTCCTTCATTCGCGATCTTTTGCTTTTCACCACATCTCCATGGTAATTACTCGCTCCATTTGTTTTGCTGACAGCACGCAGTATGGCCACTTTCAGGAAAGTAAACTTTCCTAAATTGATTTTGCCATCACAAACATTTCACCACATCTGTTGCCTGATTTGTTTCGCCAAACTGCTTTATCTGCGTGCGTAAACCGCGAAATCAGTATTATTGTCCTGTGTGTCTATAGTTTCCACACCAGACTCCTCAGACTCACTCATACTTCCGACGAGAGGAATCTCTGCTTTGGATCAGAGGAAACAAGTCGTTTAGCCTTAATGGAAACTTTGAAAGCACGTCTTTGTTACACATACCCGCTGTGAAAATATTTACTAGCTTGATACGAAATTAACATTCTCTTATTCGTTCTCTCCCTTGGAATCTGGTCTGCGATCGTAAAGCATAATAGGGGAAGTCCCGTGTACTGTCTTACTCGTAGTCTGCCCACTGGTTTTCGATGCTTTTGGTTGTTCCTGTGATTTTCAAATTATGTTGTTGGCTCAGTTATTCTATACATGCAACGCACGACCGATACTGTCGTTTCCGTGGCTCCTGCTGCTTGGCTGACCAAAGAAAGCTGTGCAAACCTAGTTGAATAGTACTTTCTCCCCCGCTTTCCTCGTTACGTACTGTGGAATGGACGGTATTTTCCAATGTTTTCCCCGCTATCATGAAACGTTACATAGTTTACAGTGCATGTATTCTACCATCCATTTCCATCGTTCGTCTAAGTGGTTATTAACTGTCACGCGTCACGATTGGACAGCTTCGTTTCTCTGTGCACCGATTTGTTTGCCGTTCTGACAATCCAAGAGGGGCTTACGACCATGTATCGGGCACGTGACTCAGGCTACTGTCTAGTTTTTGTGGAACATGAACATCCGACGAATCCGGACACATCTTTCATTTATTACTTCGGATTCAAGTTCTGCTGGCTTCTTTCATTCCCAATCGGTTGTTCCGCGCATGCATCCCAATTCTTTCACTTTTTTATTTTCCATCGTTACAATTCCTGTATTTTGATTAGTGCGATTTTCTGGACTAATCCGGTCACCGTTGCGCTGGGTACTGTGTCTGTTTAGTCCTCTTTTACCCTATGACTGTCCAAACTGCTCTTCCGGATTAACCCGTAACGCGATTAACCGTTTAGCTACATCCCAGTCGTCGTGATTATCTTCCTATTTTGACACAAATGCTACACCAATTATCCACTAGTTCACTCGGTCTGACGGAGCTTTTACGCCAAGTGATGTGTGTAGCCCACAAACTATACCAACTTGTTTTCAAACTCCTTTGAAATTATGAGTTCTCAGTCGGTTTCAAGCGTTTTTCAAGGTGTTGAATGCTGTCTCGTTTCTTTTCCCTACTCTGGACACCGTCTCTTTCGATTCGGACAAGAACCGAGTGAAGATATACACTGATATAATGCATTGAGGTTGTGTACCGCTTGTTGTTGTAGAACCAGCATATGCTCTTTTAGATCACGTTAAACGTGCCGTTCGAGAACAAGCTGCGCTACATTGTTCGGTCACTTTATCACCATCGCCGAATTCTCGGCTGAGGTGATCCTTGTGTTTTACCTTATATGTAATGTCTCGGGGTTGCTTCCGATGACCGCACCCCGAAAGTAACACGTCATCAACTCTAGTGATACACCAGTGTTTCGTATTTTTGTTCTGATGCTACACAATCGTAATACGAGAGATTACCGCACCAGTAAACAATAAGAAGAGCGGTGAAAGTTGGATTTATGTGAATTCTATGTACACCTTACCATTATGGACTGACGCTTATCGTAGCTCAATAGAACGCGTGGCAATTTCGGACGGGCAACGTACTCATCGATTAACCAATCGGAAGTGATCATGAACGATCCAATCATAGGCGACTGCACCAGTTTCTGGACAGACATGGTAAGCTCGTAGCACAAACACTGACCGTCACAAAAATAACCGTATGGAAGGTTAGGTAGTATCGTCGCGACAGCCCCTTTGCAGATTTCACGTAATTTGCAGGTTGGTCATTATCTTTTATTTCTAATTAGCATTCTCACCAGATAACGATAACTGACGTCCACTGGTCATTGGTTTTAGTCTTGCCAGCGCTGCGCAAGTAGAGATCACTCTCCGGTCCAGCATCCAGTAAACGAAACAATGATGATTCTCTGTTAGCGATAAACAAGTTCGTACCTTAGGCAAGGCGACTTATTTAATTACACTTATTGATATGAGGAACACTACTACCCATTGCTCCTCGACGTTGTGGGCACACTGGTGCCATCCATTATCGACAGTGTACAGTGTGCAACAACATTCACAGACCTGGTTGTGCTTGAGCTTTCCCGATTGGGTCAATGCTCACTCTCCTAGAGTGGAGCAACCCTCATTTCCGTCTTAAAGCCACTGGAAACGCAATTCAGACTCGACATATACCACAGTTCTATGAATTGAGCTCCACTTTTCGCAAACCATGAACTAACATCGGCGTCTATCATCACAAACGCATCTATCAAGACTGGTACATTGCTCAGCTATTCCCAATTCCTCGTGGTTTGTGTCAAAAGACCAGTGAGCGACCGGTGGTCCGGCAAGAACGGTTTGGTCGCGCAACGCACATGTCAAAGGATGGAACCACTTTGGCGCTCCTATCTTCTACCATAGATTTATTTTGTTCAGTATATAACCACTTTAATTCGTACGTTTTGTAATCAGACTAGCGAATCCCTTCGCAGCTGAACATAGCCTATATCCTCCTTTCAGCTTCTTGCCCGTTACGATGCGGAGCGGACATTGCGTTTACTATCCCTGATGTTTGATACTCCAATTACGAATGTGCTTTCGCGGATATCCACATCCTTTGACCGGTACAAAGTTGGGACGACGAACGGCTCCACTGACCAATCGAACAATCTCGCTTGTCTCCTTTTGCTTCGAGTCTACTTCCAATGCAGGTGCGGGTAACATGTTGTGCTTTCTTTGCCGTTGTATGATCACCAATGCATTCAGCCATGAATTGCTCATTTTTCTTCCTTCAGGCACCGCTTGATTAGCCATGCAGACAATTCTGAGGCTAGTTCACCTGCAGACACACGGGACAAATCGTGGGAGTCGTTTCTGAACAATGTTTCTCCCGACGCCGCTGGATTCTTTGTGTTTCTTTTGGTTGATTCCGGCGCATCAGAATCGGAATTGCTGCAGTTTTTGGTCACAAATCATGATTACGATGCACCCTCACTGTTCCAGGTCAGCCAAGAATTGTTGAAATATCGTGTGACGAAACCCCAATCCGACCAAGTGCGATTATGAAATTTATATAATCACAGACTAATCACAAAGAGCTTTTTGTCTAAAGCACCGTCCAATAGTCATTGTATAACACCTGTTCTTGTTTTTACGTATGACTTACAGTCGTTTATTTCTAACGGATGTGACGAATTCGTCTGTCCGTCACTGCCTCTTAAAAACGCGCTTTCACCGGATGGATCTGCGTCTCTGCTGAACGGCCGTCTTCGAAAGAATATTTGCTGTTGATCCGACATGGAAAGCTTGGTCAGATTTACATTCTGTGATTCTTATTTTCTAAGACATGGTCTTTTCCTCGCCGTACCAACCCTCGGTTCCACAGTATGGTTAGTGGTATCAGCAGTACGTCGGGGCTTCGTATTGATACTTCGCTGCCACGCAACCGCCGTAATTCGTGTATGTGTTTGGGACAATGCGAGATCGGGTGCAACGCGATGCAGACGAGTTTTTCATTAAGTAACGCGTCTAAATCGTTCGGATCCATTTGCTCACTTTATTCGTAGCGTCGTTTTGACTCCGTTCCGCTGTGCACCCTCATCCACAACGCATCAGGGCTATTTGCTTTGTGCATAATGCTTCCTTCGTCCTTTGTGATCAGTGATTTCTCCGAATTCATTACGCCCTTATTACTCATTAGTGATGCACTACAGTTAGTAGTATTAACAGTACGATGGTACCTCATAACAATGCTTCGCTGTCACGTGACTGTCGAAAGTCGCGTGCGTATTGGGGATGCCGCGAGGTTGCTCTAGTCTACAAAGGCGAGCCATGGATTATATGCTAGACACCTGAACCACCTGCAGGCTTTTCCACTAGTGGCTTGCACAGTGGGTATCTCAGCAAGACCATTGGTTAGGGAGCCTGTGAATCCTGCTTAGCTTATATGACCGGAAGCTCGACTGAAAGCCATGGCACCCCCGTCGTGAAACATACGCAAACTAATCATAATGAAAATTCGCACACAACTGGTTAGCCCAAAACTCCTGATGGCTCTCGCCTTTTGTTCTTTGCTTAGGCCCTGCATGCAGCGCCTGATAAACATGACTGCGACCACTGTACACTGAAATTTGCAAACAATTTGTTAGTACTGAAATCGCTTGCCTGATAACTACTTCTGGTCGCGTGCTCATGTTTTTGGTAATCGGTGTTGGTGTGTTACACTCGCATAGCAGTGCGAGACTCTGAGCTTGGTTAGCTTTAAGTATCATGGTTTTATCGCCTTTTGCTCTATAGATGCGATGTGTGATTTTAGCTTGAACCACCTGGCGGAATTAACGTGCCTACTTAGGCACTTGGACGTTGATGTTGGACTGCGTGACAAGCCATTCCCCATCGTCATTACCCGGCACTGATTATGAATCTGAGCTTATCATCTAGCAACTCAGTAGACACAGTATGTGCAGGTTTTTTAAGGGCAATTCATCCGTGAAAACGAGTCGTGTAGTAATCTCAATCTGTGGACGGTCATTCAGTTTCTGCCTATTCATTTGCTCGTCTTAAAGTGCGTTTCGTTAACTTGTCTGCTATCGATATTGATGGCAAATGCCTACTTATCACGAGGTGGGCTGCACACAGGACACACCTGTTGCTATGGCTAGGAGCCGACCTCAGTGGAGTTCGTGCTGAGAGTTTCTTTGTCCCACCCCACCCCTCTTAGCCTCCCCCTCCAACCACGATCTCATTACTTAGCCTTATATAATTTTGCATAATAATTTTTTTGGGTGCACAACAGCCGGCTGGTAGCTTACCGGAACGATGCCCATCCGTTACCGGTAGCTCAGCCGGCTTGCACTAGTTGCATTATTTTTTCTCCTTTTTTCTGTGTATTGCGGCACAGTAGCTGAGGTGTTCCCCACCTCTAGCTAACGTGTATGATGATGGGCTGCACACACCTTTTGAGTGCTACTCTCATCAGGCGTATTATTCATTTGCGAATGCGTCGGCGTGTGATTCTGCAAACTTATGTGAGATCCTCCACGTATACTTCGCACAGACCTTCCAAACACGGACAATATAAGTTGATGGAATCCTGTGTTCACAACGTTATGACTGAAGTTTGTGAATTGTCACACTCATGCTTTCATGTATTGGCCAATTATGCTATGAGCTCTTTACTGCGTGAAATGCGTGGTAACCACACGATCAGCGAATTCATTCTTTGACTCATTTGAAATTAACCATAGACCAGCGCGCATACTTCTTTCCCATTATCTCTGAGTATCCAATCGTAGCGATCTAACCTGAAACCCTGAACCTAACTGCCCCTTTATACCTCTGAGCTTCTGAGCATTAAAAAAACCAACATGATATAAATTATGCTGGTTACGTGCAAACAAGATGGAATTTGGAGACATTGTAGAAAATCAATCTACCTTTTATCTAGCACCAATATTCCACCTTTGTATGCCAATCCACCCATCAGGATGAGCCTTGTATCGCACAGAGATAATTCTTGCAAAGTGAGCACCAGATATTGCTCTTAACCTTCTTGCACGGAATTAGACACTCCAGTAGTTTGCTTGTTGTACCTGGTGTGCTCTTCCATGCACACAACACAGATGTGATTTGACGATGTCCCAGGTAGAATTTCTGGAAAGTGATTGCCTGGAATCATCTGTTGAGGGCAGGGTTCTTTTTGTTGTTGGTGGTGGGTTGATGTCCTGTATCCACCAATAAGTTACACGCACAGTTTCTGAATATGCCTAGTGAAATAAGCAGTTTGTTGTTTTGAAGCATACAAGATATAAGAATTATAGCTGACTCAAATGTTGCTATGACAGATAGAAGTGGATAAACTTGAGGAGCAGACTTTCCAAGAAATGCTTACTTTATGCGTTATATCTGCCTCATCGTTATGCGTGTCTTTCTCATCAAGTATGTGTAAAAATCTCCAAAAGGCCGAGAATCTGTCTTGAGTCATAACATTTCGAAATCCAAGAGTAAACCCAACAAAGTCAGAGGGCTCATTTGTCCAATAATCCTGATAACTGGGCTTTATACATCAGTGTTCTCTATATAAACCCTCAGTCTAAGAAAAGTCTTCGTTTCTTCCCCTGTGGCATCCTTGAAATTGTTGACATTGAGGGAGTTGGGCTTTGCTATATGCAGTTGGTGTGCCCGGAGGTTGGTTTTCTCTGTCAAATTTTGCCAGAACGTTTCATCCAAAAACAAGGTTAAAAGTACCGATCATTTGTTGGACTGTGATGAGCCTAGATTAACTTCGCTTTCCTGTTGAAACGCTTGGCTCATCAGTCGCTTGTTACATTGTGAATTTTCAGAATTTTTTCACCACACAAAGTCAAATCAAACACATGTCTAACCTTGAGGTTTGACCATGACTGGTTGGTTATTTTTAGTTTGTTACGCATTTTTTTCATGTACTAGGCAAAGTATGGAAAGTTAGGTACAGCGGTATAGCAGTAGAATCGAAAGCTACTGTGAAACCGGTACAACGGTCTGGTAGGGTTAATGAACTCTTACTGTCGAATTTATACAGGGTCCCAACTGTTTCAGCTTCGAACCCAATCCTCGGATAAGACGTAGCGCTCTTGGTGTGTAGGCATCTTGCCTGCATACTTCCGCCTATGATTTATCCATACGAATTCCATTCTTCTTGGTTTTCCAGACTATCACGCCACAAGCGTACCCGCGCGCTTTGGCTTTTTTGTACGAACGACTGGGCGATTTGGATAAAGCACTGGAAACCCACGAACAGGTTAGTGTCCAGTTTTATTATAAACCTATTTGTTTTGAATCCTATTCGGAACGGATGAAATGCTTTTACTAATAGGACCCCTCAAGCAGAGGACCTAATTAAATTCGGATCGATATGGCCTAGCAGATCTAAGCGCCAGCAGTTTGACACGCGAACCAAGTCTAGAGTCGGAACGTACGACTTTACCGATATCCAGAAAAGAATGACTGGGCGATAGCAAAAGTTCGTTTGTTTACTCAGTCAGCCATGTACGCGTTCGTATTTATAAATCAGTTACGTAGAATCCCAATGTATAATCTATAATGGTGAATGTTGGTAAAGCACATGAATTATGACGTAGTGGCAGTGTCCTGAGGTCGGTGGTGCTTTGGACGGTGAATACAGCGTCGTCACTTGTGAAGAACATAGATGGAATCAGCGCTTAATAGCAGTTCCAATGAGGAGGTTCAACTGCGCAGTCTGAGCTGCCGCATGAGAGAGTATTGATGATGTGAGCTCAGATGAACTTGGCGATAGTTTCACGCAGCCACCAAAGTTCCGTAACAAGTTTGTTTCCCCTAGAGATCTTTATATACTTCGTACTTTGATTTTGTTCAGACATTTCGTCAGGTAAAACGATCAACCCTGTTTTGTTGCTCATCTGCCTGCCAACAAGCGAAGTGCAGTAAACTTTGTTGCTTTCGGTCACGTAACGATTAGACTAACAACAAAAAGCCGTGACCCGGAAAAGAAAAAATACTAATGTTTCGGATAAAAGCTGGAGTCGTTGGGCAACGGTTGAAGATGGAAGTGGGGAACCAACGAAATGAGCGCCACTGATTTTAGTACGATATCTTGTCCTGTGAGTTACATCTCATGTGGATGGTTCCCTAGTCCAACAGGCACCAGTCCAATCTAGCTCTGTAGACAATTTTTCTACTTTTTTCTACGCTGTTTGTAACTGGCTCTTATGACACCCCACTTATCCAAGTGGGAGAACAGCACTCACTGAAGCAGGCGATAATAAGCTAGTTTCGTCCATTCAGATGCTCTGGTGTGTCGCCCTTGGGTAGTGTATCCGTACACCAGCAACTTGATCTCGGAGTTATCCATTCGATGTCTCGACCAGATGTCTGGACCGTGCTTCACGGGCATTGCTGGTTATAAGCAAAGGATCTTTTTACTGCGTTACGATCATGCCTCTGGCCCTTGATATTCCACCACCTTTATAGATGGTTTAGGTTTTGCTATACCTCAATGTCTTTATCGATGTCCACAGATAAGTAAACTGATCGACCATTTTGTGGGAACATTATACGGTGGGGTGAATGACTATCAAGTCAGCGATCACTTGAGTTCCGCACAACAAGCGGGGTTCGCCAAGCTTATCCTATGTCTTCTTCTGAAATGGCTCTGTCCTTCAAGTCGCTACCAGGATGAGAGTTCTGTCGGGCAACAAACTGGGGAACTTCAGACATGCAGACCTAGTCGCTCTCCATGCGTCGAACCCGGTGTTTATGTAAGCACTACTGAATGGCCTGAAGTGTAACACCGTATGCTTTCGGTATCTATATAGCACTTTTAAAGTGCAAAGTACTGTTGCAGGACTGAGCCGACACAGCTGGTTCCAGCTGCCACCGAACAACGGTCTGAAATGGTCGATCGGTTTATTTACCACAGCTTGTCACATCACTGAGTAGGCTGATTCACCTATTAGCACAGCCAGTGTCGCTTTTCGAGGGCTCATTTATTAAGACAGTAGGATGTTGGTTTAGTTTAGGTAAAGGTGCATCGTGCTACTGTACGGCCTGTGTTTACGTGTGGGTCAGAAACATGACCACTCTGTGTTGAAGACAAGGATTTATTTGCAGTCATCGATCATCGACGCTTGTGGAAGCACCGGGTAAGTATTGTTGACGTCCGCCAGTTGATGCTTCATTAGAAACCATCTGGCGTAACATTGGAACGTCATCTTACGTTGTTTGAGCCATCTCCTCCTTATTTCAGTTGTCGGCTCTCCTCGGCGTGCATTATATGCTGTTACCGCATCGTTTTGGGCGAAATTGCGAAGTGGTCACCTGGTGAAGTCGGCTAGTGGCCGCAAGGATGAAGCGTCTGTTTTGCAACTCAATGATCACCGATTCGAACTTGCTTAGCTACGAATGACCTCGTAGTATCCCTAGCCGTTGCTCGAAGCGGTGGTCACACGACGGCGCACCGGTGTACTGCTGATGTCTTTTTTTCCATAGATCAGGTTGTAGGCGTCGCGGAAAAACCCACGGACAAATAAACAATGCACACTTGGGTCAATTGAAGAAATCACAGAGACACCACTTCGTGGCCTTCAGTGTCCTATGTGGACGAGTTCTCGCTATGCCTATGGTATGATGAGCGATTGCACAAGTGTCGTTCATTTGCATAGCCTGATGCCGATCGCTTCCCTTTTACAGGAAGGGTTTCCTAAATTCCCTGGGTTATCGCTTAGGACAGTTTAAAGACGTCATTGGTAAATAGTATGTACGCCCTGGATCAAATGTTTCGAAATGCAACTGCAAATGATCCTAAGCATGAGTTTCCGCAAGAACCCTGAGCGGTGTGAGGCTGTCTGTATTGGCAAATGTCTCGCTGTGTATCCGATGTGCTTTCCACCACAAACGCAAGTAAATTAATATGAAATATTGCCTTTAAAAAGAACAGGTCTTCTGTTGGATCTGTCTTGATAATTTTTAGGCATTCACGGTCCATGCTGTGCTTTCCGGTGAATGATGTAATCGTTTGCAACCAGCATTTCAGAATTTCACTCGTTCTCGGATTCCAGGATCTTCAGGCTGCAAATTTTCGTGGCACAGTAATACATGTAGCGAACCAATTTCTGTTTCACTGCAAGGTACACAAAGCTAAGGAAGTGCGTGTTTTGACCAAACCACAGCTTTTCGGTGACAAATTTATGTTCGAGAAATGGTCCAATTTTTACAAAGTAGCTTTCAGTTTGAAATATGATTGAATTCATTCATAATCATCCACCTCGATCCGTCATGCGGTCGAGAAAAAATCGTACATTCCGTATCAGATTAATTGCATTCTTGGTGCAAAGCACCTCGGACACAGCCAGGCGTTTGTCAATATTGACAGCTTAACACCGCCCGGAGTCCCTGCGAAATTTTATTATCAGGAGCGTTAGCAGTCCCAATTTGATACACTTGGTCCAGAGTGGACATCGAAGTCTGACCATTTACACCTTCAAGGTCTTCCATACTGAACCGGAGTGATACCACCCTTGGGGTTTAGAAAGCACTTCTTGTAGAAGACCGGGGCGTTTGCGATTACGCTAACGTCATCGGTGCTTGCGTAGTCCTTCTTTTTACTATAACAATAATGAGAATTCTTCCACGTAGCATAGTAGCGATGTCCGGGTCTGATCTCGGATGATCCAGGTTTGTGAACGCTGTCGCGACGTCTAGCACCTCAACTCAACCGATGTCAGCCCAGCTTTCACTGGCATACTGTTGTCCCATTCATCCCGGTAAATGTAGTTTCATGATGATCATTTTCGCGGCATTTCTTTTTACTAATGTCGTAAAGCCTTGTTTAGCTATTTATAGGGCAAGGCACTGCCAGTTGTTCAGCTATTCATCGGAAGTGGTCCAGTGTTGTTTTTCGTAACCCTGACCGAGCTCTATTTCAAAGTGAACCGAGGTCTGAATAGAGATTGCGTGTCGCAATCCAACCACACAGCGGGTACTCCAAATTAAGCGTTGAACTATTCATCGGCTTTGAATTTGGACAACATTGGCATCCTTCTCTTGATTCGAACTTGTGTTTTGTGAAATCTTGATCACTCCTACTAGAGGACTCTGTGTCGAAGCCACATTAGAATTCTCTACCGTCCAGCTACTCATTGCGGCTGTGTGGCACTGTTTGGCGACACTTCCGCGCTTTTCTGTTTCTTTTTCCTCTAGATTCGTAGAACTCCACTCGCTTTAGTGCTCCTTGGACTTTTGATATGCTGTTGTGCATCGTTAGAATATTTCATGCTTCCAAGGGACCACAAATCGAGCAGCGATGGTTGATAGCGCCCTTCGCTATCATCGACGTCTTCATCAACGAAAGAATTACGCTCAATGTGATTACGTCGCACGGAATGTACATACATAATGTTACCTCCAGTTATAAACCCAAACTATATGCACGGCTTGGGTGAAAACACAATTGAGACAGATGGTCTTGTAATGTAATTCTGTAGTCTTGGTTTTAAAGAGTAGGTGTAGAATAGAGTGTACCATTCAGAACGCACGACTAGGTTTAGAACGTGCGAGCATCGGGCGGGAACAGATACCCGTAACAGTAATGTAAACGTGACCTTGAGACATAAGAATGCACGTAAATAAAGCGAATGTATAACGGTACTATTTTGAGAGTGTAGCGGCCTAAGGTGCGAAAAGCATGTTATTACTTTGGAAGGGTGGAACTACTTTGGAGCAGGGGCACTGGGTCATCAAGGGGGAACAATCCATTCGGTGAGAGGAATTAAAATTCTTTTGGACTTCTAAAATAAAACGGTATATTCCAGGACAGTGTGAGACATAGTCCAACTGTGACACTCGAAGATCAGGGTTTACTATGCTGTTGCCCGTTTCCACTGCTGTTTGATATCCCAGTTCTCCTGACGCAACAGTATGGATAGCCTGATTGTATTCAACGACTAATGCCATTGTAGTCTGACTAATTTTCCATGAAAACATCTGCGATTCGTCACTCTGGTGTAACCAAAGGGTCAAACAACCATGGCTGTTGGTCACAATGTTTCTGAGCACCAAGCCTCCGTGGCTGGAGCACATATGCTGCTCCCTTCTCTGAGACGAGACAGTTTTCAGCCAACGATTGACTGTTGATGCTGACGTCACTTGTCGCCAATGACTTGTAAGCATTTTTATCGGGCTTCAGATGAGCGAGCTCGCACCCGAAATGACAGTCGTCGCTGGTTGTGCGCTTCGTGAATATCCCCTATGCCATAAAAATTGACATACCTTTATACAGCAGAGGAAATCAGCGAAAACTGCAACACGGTACGCCGAATGTTTTAAACTAGATTATGCATGCACTTCCCATAAACAACACCGTTTTGGGGCTGATGAGGTTCATCTTTTGGTTCAGCTAACCAAACAACGAGAAACTAACCGCTACGCATGTGAACTGTAGTCAATCAGCGCCGGGTGAGTCCGTCGAGTCTGTCCCCTATTGTTTGCAAGGCATGGATTCATCTGTACCATCTCATGGGACAACCTCACCACACCCAGGTGCTTCTTTTATCTTTTCCCCCCAACGGCTATTTAACATTTTACACAGTTATTTCTGTTCCATTTTTCTGTGCCTGGATAGCCATATGAATTCCACTCGGAGCAGGATTGACTGGATAGTTTGTGCTTATGTACGTATATAGAATGCTGTGGAAGACATGCGAGATTTATTTCCCGAATTATAAGGTCCCTTGCTGACTACGTGTCGTCTCTAATGCGATATAACACTATGCGACCGAACGTTTTACTTTACACTTATCAGAATGTTGTTATCGAAACCCTAATTGAACGGACTGGACCGTTAAGTTACTTCCCTTGGGTATTTCCTTGCACTAACAGTGGCAATTGCTCCTAGCGCACTCAGATGCAATTTTCTACACCAATTTCTAGTTTCATTCCCGTTTGTTTGACCATGTGCAATTTCTTTCACTTGTTTCTCAACGCACCACAGACCGTACCATGCACTTTAGTCCGCATGGATATATCAGCGGTCGCCCGTAGGCCAAGTGGTTCTCTTTGGTGGCATCGAATCACAGAGATTTCATGTATCCATAAACGGAGGCAATGCAACTGAGCACTCTAGTAATCGTTCCCACTCTATTTTAACAGTAGGTTTCCATTTATGCTCCATTGTCTGCATTGCTGTAGGTTTTACTCGCCAGGTGATCGTTTGCTACCATCCATTGACGATTTAATCCTCGTGATGGACATAGGTAATGTGTCAGCTTCCTTCTTCAACAATTGTTACGTTCCGCCTCCCTTTTTCTTTTCCATGGACAGTCTTTCATACGGAATTGGGCGTCACTAGTTCACGAGTACCATGCCTCTGCTTTGGGGCCCGCTGAATCGACAAATAGTGTCCAACCGACCAGACTAGAACCAATTCAAACTGCCCTCACAGAGACATTCCAACATCAGCGCACTGCAGTGCATTCTGTCGCTGATAATTGGTTCTCCTTCTGTCAACGATATCAATCTCTGCAAAAGGAAAATGCGAAGGTGAGTCGCTTTTCAACACTCATGATGTGTCTAGTGGTCCCGCATGCATTTGATCAGTTCCACTGCGCAATCGCGCAGTGGCATCTAGGTGCGGGGGCTCCAGTTAACTATGGCCTGAGGCGTTTTCCGCCTGCAGCTAACGTGTATAATGATGATGAAGAGGAATGTGGGTGAATAGGCGCAAATAAACACTGAGGAACGGGGACCAGGAACCTTTGCAATCATTTCGATCAGTGGGCGGAGTACAGGATCGCTACTTAATTGCACCACATTCAACACGTGGTCTGTAGCCACTAAATCAACCAGTCTCGAGATCCGCATCCAGGATGATTGCCTACGCCTGCCAAGACGTCTCCCACTCGATATCTTCATATTTTTTCGCCGTACCGTTGGTTAGTCGCTCTGGGTATCCAACATTTGTAATACTCACTTAAGCACGTGAATATCCTAGCACGCGATGAATGTGGCCTTGTTGACGTACACGGTCAGAGTCCACTAGGGTCTCGTTATCCCAAATACTAACCGGCGAACTTCGTTATTATTCACTCAGTCATCTCTCCGGCTGTGAGCATTGGTGGTTAGTGTTGAGTAGTTGTTCTTGGAGGTACTCAACCCACGTAGGCCATATCCGCGTGTTACTTAGCACTGCTGTTCGCTGCCGCGTTTGAAGTTCTTCCAAATTGCTGATAAGCTTGCTAGCTGAAGTTCTAGAAAACCACGCGAACCTTAAACGCTTGCCATAGCCGCTGTCGATTTGACCATCAGGACTACTACAGCCACCTAGATACTTCGGCCAGTCAGTCGTCCCCAGTGATTGTTCAGTGGTAATGAGTAGATTGTGTGTCAGCTTACTTCTGCAGTAGTGCCTTGCACCTTTCATGGCAGATGAACCGGGTACCACTCCATCCAACCAGGTTCGTAACGTGTGGACGATGGGCGTAAACGGGATAGCCTAACAGCGGAATCGTTAAGAGAACGCTTCAGATAATGCTATCTTGAAACACAATGTACAAGCTAACTAGTTGAATTGACGACGTTTGAGAGCGCAAAAGTTGGAAAATGGGTAAGCTGGTTACTGGATGGGGTGGTAGGGTGCATCTTCGAATGGCGATAATTCGGCTTCTGTATGCTGGAAGAATTGAGACACTTACCAATTTTTACACCGCATTGCCGTTCCCATTCGTCTCACAACGCAACGCGAACCCATTCAGTACCAGGCGATCATTCTTCTCCATTCCCGTGCGCCCTCTATTGCAGAATGTTTGGTTTCGAGTTATAGACCTTCTGATGGAAGAGCAGTCTTCGGTGTCCGAATCCTTTCTTATATCGGGTAAGTATTCACACCATCAGTTTCCTTGGTAGTGCTGCGTCCACCATCTTACCGCTTCTATTATCTCGTCCTTTTTCAGAACTGAACGAAATTTTTCACGACCTGCTATCTTTTGTGACGACAAGTCTCTCTCTGACCGCTATCATATCCTACATTTTACAGGTGGGCACTTCTGAAGCCAATTTTAACCTGTTTGATTGATTTAATGTTCCATCTTCTAATCCTAATTTTCTGTACACGTACTAGAGACAGCTGAGCTGTTTTCGCGTTGATACTAGTTCTCATTAAAGTGCACTAGCAAATAACTGAGTTCATCGCAACCAGCTTACAAGCCAAATAGCCTCACTACCAATCCGAGAAAGCACCAGACGGTCGTTTCACCCACTTGAAACTCTTTGGGGGTGCGCATTTTCCCGGTCTTCTTTAAGGAATCACTTAGTCTTGGGGGAAGATAGCGAGACATAATGGATAGTACGCTATCCGCGATATAGCCTGACCCATCCTCACTGTGAAGGCGACAGTGGTTGGCCTCGTGGTGTCAGCACTTCCCTAACAGCAACTATGAGGCGAATTTGCCTTACTTTACCTTTTTAGTTGCATCGTTCCCCCCAAATGTTCGCATTGGTCACGCTTGAAGCTGCATCGCGTGCGTCATGTGACACACTGCACGTGTGCAATCGTATGAGCCATATTCATGGACCGTGTTCGCGACGTGAGATCACGTGATCGACCTGCCACCGACTGCCCTGATACGGTGACTAACATGGTTGGCGGCATCCGGTTTCGGATTTGCCTATCACTGTGGCCAGCCACAGGACGCCTGCGCCTACAGAGGGACCATGGGTGGCTTGCGCTGCACCACCCACAGCTCCAACCACACACCCCATATCCAGTGTAAACCCGAAGGAATAAGACCGGGAGGCATGCGGATGGGAGCCACGTTTCATCAACGGAGCCGGCCCACACTCCTTCACAGGCAAACACAAGCTCGCTGTATTTGGGGAATCAAGCGCGCACAAGGCGGTGGCTGGACCGTAGTCCGCTGAGTGCATGGAACCACTCTTCGAGCCTAACACGGCCACAAGCACGGTGCACCCCGTCCCCTCCAGCAACGACCAACTGTCTCCTGGAGTCAGTATGAACGAGGTAGTGGGTAATAGACAGGTAGGCACCTTGTCAAAATGCACTTCAAGCGCAGCCACATCGGAGATATGAAGCAACAGTCATTCACTTGAAACGGCAAGATAAAATAAAATAAATCCAATAATGCATACAAATACGGTGGCATAACTCTTCACTAAATTACCATATGAAGTAAGTTGGTTAGCAACGAATCCGCGATAAGTAAGAAATGTCCACAAGTTACTTAAAAATGCTACAAACGCAACAAAGTTACCGAAGATAAGCGCAATTAGTGTAAGCAACGTGGCCAATTAATGGAAGATTATTCAGGTAGGCAGAACAAACCAAATAAAGTGGAGTAAAATTTATCCAGCTTAAAATGACCTAGTTTAAGTGTGACTAACATAGCGGTGAAGTTAACTCCATAGGCACGCCAAGTTGAGTGGTATCGTGCAGTTAGTGCAACAACTTGTTCTGCTCCGAACGCCACAAATAGGGACTCGTACGCGGCACTCGGCGGAGGTGATGAACATAATACTTAAAGACTTATTAAGAGGGAAGTGACTAAAAGAATGTTGCACACATACTGAACGTAAACCTGCTTACCTGTCGCAGTTGTATAAAGAGGTTGGAATCAACCGGAAAAACACAAAAGTGTGTTGGGGACACCGAAGGTGTCTGACAGACAACCAGATTGATTGCCTGGTAGAAGGGGTGTCGAAAGAACCCACGGTCAATCTAAAAACACTACGTCTTCGGTTGAAGGCGGAGTTAAACATTGAGGTAAGCGTGAGCACAATTGCATGATACTTGGGTGGACGGCTTATTATAAAGAAGTTGCGAGCAGTTCTGGAATCAGCCAACACACACGAGAACAAAATGTGGAGAAAAGCCTACGTTTTGGCACTGCTACAATCTGAAGCCGAAAGGAGACAAGCCATGTAGATAGATGAAACCAATTTCATTCTCTTTTGTTTTTGCACCATGGGGCGCTCAGCGCGTGGAATTCCTGCGCAATCTACAGTGCCCAACAGTCGAGGCCAAAACCTGCATCTGATTGGAGGGTTGACGAGCGATGGATTAATAGACTATACTAGCATGAGAGGAAGCTTTAATAAGGAAAGGTGCGCGTTGTGAATGCGTCGGCCGCTGAATGCCAGAGACTCGAGTTTTATCGAACACTGCCTCGTGATCTGTGATAACACGCCATGCCACACGAAGTTGGAACGCATATCCCAGGAGGAACCGTACCGTTCGGGCAGCCTCCTGCGTCTGGCGCCATATTCTCCTTCACCGTATCCCACTGAGGGTCTGGAGCATAATAAAAGCGTTTGTGAGGCAAACCATGAGGAGGCAATTGTGGTATCCTCACGGCCAATATATTGAGCCCTTTCTATTCGTTGCCTGCATCCGATGGTGTGCGTCAGTAACGCGCTCACCCATTTATCGACCGGTCTAGGATCAGTGCGTTGTACAACATGCCGGTTAGAATACAGTTTTGCCTTCCATGTGCCTGACGTGTTTTGCTTTGTGATACTTCGGTTAAGAGCCAGCCACTGTGCGTTAGTTCCGCAATTGCTAAACTGAGATTTTGGCGACGAAGATTAAACTTGGAATAAATTATTATGAGCCATCTTACCCCGCCTGATCTTTTGGAAGGGCACGTCGCCCAAGCTATCCTTGGCAGTTTGGAATCGTTCGAAACGAACCTTCGGTGACTACCCTGAGCTTTTCACAATTACACACCACATCAAACAGTGAGACCCAATTTATCAAACTACTGAGACAACACCTCGGTGCAGAAGGTCATTGGCATTGTGATGCGTTGCGTTTGTATGAAAGCACATCCCTGACGGAATGCTTTAACGCCCTGGATGGCATTTGGGGCCGCGGCAACATGCTTCTACTGCGCGCCTAAGTTTTCTCATTTACGACAGGGAGAAGAAGAGTGTTAATGAATTCATCAGTCGTATACAACAGTCCCTTCCTGACTGCCGTTACAATGAAATTCCCGCAACGAAATTCGAAGAGACGATGGCGGTGCAATGCCTTTTGGTTGGCATTCGAGACGATAAAGCTAGAGAACGTCTGCTGTCAGAAGACGAGAATAAACTCACTTGGGAAACAGCCTGCTCACTGGTCAGACAAAGGGAAAGCGTTGTGCAACAATTAATTCAGTATCGAAGCGATTCTCCTTCAGATGCCGTCCATGCGGTTAAATCTCGACTATCACCCACCAACAAATGTTTCTTACGTGCTACAGATGCGGCGAGAAGCATGAAAAGGTTACTGATTGCAGACACAAACAGTCTACTTGTCATAAGTGCGGAAAGGTCGGACATATTGCACGCGTATGTCGTTCGACTGTGCTTCAACGACCGATACCCCGCCCTGCCCAGGGTACTGTTCAAACTGTGGCAAACACTGACGATCCCATATTCTAATTTCGCACACAACCACATCGCACGCAATGGGAATACCCCGTACACTGTTGATTTAAACATTGAAGGCCAACCAGTACGTCTGGAGATCGATACCGGGGCCTCGGTTACATTGATCAACAACCGAACTTTGCCCGACCTGGTTCTGACTCCGACTCAATCTAAATTACGATCATACACTGGGGAAATACTCGATGTTTTGGGTGTGTGTGACGTGAAAGTAAATCATGGGGACAATACGTTGACTCTTCCTCTAATCGTTGTTAACACAGACGGACCTAATCTACTTGGGAGGAACTGGTTAAAGTACATGCCGGAAATATTACAATCTGTCAAGAAGGTGGACAGTATTTCTGACTTACCTACACTCTTGAAAAGCTTTGCCAGTGTTTTCGATACAAACATACCTGGGAAATTACGTGATTTCAAAGCTTGCTTGAATATCAAGCCACAGACTCAAACGAAATTTTACAAAGCACGGAGTCTACCTTTCGCAATCCGTCCAGTTAGAGCAATTACAAAAGGACGGAATAATTTCACCCGTACGCCACTCTTCCTGGGCTGCACCCATCGTTCCTGTACAGAAGCCTGATGGCTCAGTTCGCATTTGCGGCGACTATAAACTGACGGTTAATCAAGCGAGGAGCGACGGAACATTATCCGATTCCACGGATAGATGACCTTTACGCAACTTTGTCTGATGGACAAAGGTTCTCGAAACTTGATCTAAGCCATGCTTATTCTCAAGTGCAGCTACAGGAATCCTCAAAGGAAATTGGTACCATTAATACACGCATGGGATTATTCCGCTATAACCGATTACCATACGGGATACACTCCACGCCGGCGATCTTTCAAAGAACTATAGACAACTTAGTGAAAAGCATATCCGGTTTGCGCTTACTTGGACGACATTTTGGTTACTGGTCGTAGGAACATATGACAGCATTTGCAACAGTCTTGAAACGCCTTCAGGAGAGCGGACTGAAACTCAAGGAATCTAAATGTGTCTTCTTTTGTGATACCGTTGAGTATCTGGGATTTCGTTTGGACAAACACGGGTTACATCCCCTACGGGAAAAATTCAACCCATTCTGGATTCTCCAACACCCCGAAATATTAACGAACTGCAATCATTTCTTGGGATGGTAACCCATTACAGTCGTTTCTTACCCAATTTGGCTAGTCTTCTCGCACCATTGTATACTTTACTTCGTAAGAATACCAGGTGGCTGTGGTCCAATGAACAACAAAAGCTTACGATGCTGTCAGATTAGCTATTAGTAACGCTAACTTGTTAGTGCATTTTGACCCAAAAAGCCGATCACTCTTCGTTGCGATGCGTCACCCACAGGGCTCGGGGCCGTACTGTCACACCAAATGGAAGACATGACCGAGCGACCAATAGCTTTTGCGTCCAGAAGTTTGGCACCAGCGGAAAAGAACTATGCGCAGCTCGACAGGGAAGCTTTAGCGGTTATCTTTGGAGTTAAGAAATTCCACCAGTATCTGTGGGGAAGAAAATTTGAAATCTTTACTGACCACAAGCCTTTGTTAACCTTGATTGGTGAGAAAAAAGGCATAAACCAGATGGCGTCA